CTTGAAACTTGCAAATGGCAATGTGTGTCAGATTACTAATGTGCATGGTCCTAATGACCGAAGTCGGAGGGAGGAGTTTTGGGAGGAGCTGGCAATGGCTAGGGGAAGTCTGGATTGCCCGTGGATTATTTATGGGGACTTTAATGCCACTCTTTCTAGGGAGGAGAGAAGCTCGGGGGGAAGAAGATCAAGGGAAATGGTGCAATTTGCTGATTTTATCAATAGATTTGAGCTTCAAGATTTACCCCTTCATGGCAATAGGTATACTTGGACCAACAATCAAGACCTTCCTGCCCTAGTGAGGCTGGATAGGTTTCTGGTTACTTCTAACTGGGAGGATATTTTTCCGGAGTTTAAGCAGATTGCCCTTCCAAGGCCAGTGTCGGACCATATTCCCATTCAACTGGTTTGTGGTGTTAGAGAGAGAACAAAAGTTCTGTTCAAATTAGAGAATGTTAGGTTTGAGGATGACTCTCTAGTTCTGTTGTTGAAGTCTGTTTGGGAGGATATGCAGGTGGGAGGTACCAGTTCATTCATTTTAGCAAAGAAATTGGGAGCCATTAAAGCAAAGCTAAAGATTTGGAAAGTGGAGAGAAGTTTGAATCTAGATACTGAGAAGAAGACTCTACTAAGTACCATAAAGGAGATTGACACAGCTGAAGAATTAGGTCCTCTTATTGAGGAGCTCAGATTAAAAAGATTTCAGGCTAAGTTAAAGTTTGACAAATTGGCAATGGCAGAAGAAACTAAATGGAGACAGAGCCAAAGTGGCGTGGCTGAAAGAGGGGGATAGGAATACACATTATTTTCACAAAATGGCAAATGCCAAAGCTAGAGCTTCTATAGTTACCAGGCTGGAGGGAGAGGGCAGGGTAGGTATCACTTAGTCTGATATGAAGCTAGTGGCAACTAGCTTTTACAAGAAGTTCTATAAGGAATCTTGGGCATTCAGACCTTTCCCAAGATCTCTTTCTTTTAACTAGTTGAGTGATGAGCAGTCTTCTTTCATTGAGAGACCTTTTTCTGAGGAGGAAATTAAAGAAGCTATCAAGTTGTTAGCTGATGAAAAGTCTCCAGGGCCCGATGGTCTTACAAATCTCTTTTACATTAAATGCTAGGACGTGGTGAGACAGGATTTATTGAATGTTTTCCAGGACTTTTTTGAGAGGGGTTCATTGCAGAGAAGTCTGAATACTACCTTTATAACCCTCATTCCAAAGATTGAAGGTGCTATGGATATTAAGGATTTTAGGCCAATTAGTCTGTTGCATAGCTTCTGCATAATCCTATCTAAAGTCCTTATAGAAAGATTGAAAGCAGTTCTTGGTAGGGTTATCTCAAATAACCAAAGTGCTTTTATTCCGGGTAGACAGATGCTAGATTCAGTTCTTATTGCCAATGAGCTCATTCATTCCAGGAAAAAAGAAGACTCTCCAGGTTTGATTTGTAAACTTGATATTGAGAAGGCCTACAATCATGTTAACTGGAGATGTGTAGACCTTGTGCTTCTTCAGATGACTTTTGGGCAGAAATGGAGGAATTGGATGAAAGTATGTATCACTTCCCCAAAGTTCTCAGTCTTGGTAAGCGGACAATCTGCAGGTTTCTTTGATAGTTTTAGGGGTCTTAGGTAGGGAGACCCTCTATCTCCTCTATTATTTCTATGTGTAATGGAGATCCTCACTCTTTTCTGCAAGAAGGCTGCTGAGTCAGGGGATTGGGAAGGTTTTGCAATGGTGTCGGGGGGAGAGAAGGTGGACATTCTTCAATTTGCAGATGATACAGTATGTTTTGTGGATGCTTCCCCCTCTCAGGTGGAGCTAATTCTTGGGATTCTCTCTTGGTTTGAAGTGATTACAGGCTTGAAAGTTAATTGGAATAAGAGCCAAATTATCCCAGTTGGACTTGTTTCCAATTTAGCTGAGTGTGTTGGTATTCTGGCTTGTCAGATTGAATCTCTCCCGGTCAAATATTTAGGACTCCTGCTTGGGGTGAGTGGTGGTTCCTTTGCTATTTGGGACCCAATTATTGAGAGATTGGAAAGGAAGTTGGCTTCTTGGAAGGCTAAATACCTTTGTTTTGGGGGGAGGGTGATTCTGATTAAGAGTACTCTCTCCAATTTGCCTACCTACTTCCTATCCCTTTTCTCTATTCCTAAGAAGGTGGCAAATCAGATTGAAAAGCTTCAACGGAATTTCTTTTGGAGAGGCTGGGAGGAGGAGAAAAAAGTGCACTTGGTGAGTTGGGAACAAGTCTGTCTTCCCAAATCTGAAGGGGGGTTAGGTATAAGGAAACTGAAATATTTTAACTCTGCTCTCCTATGTAAATGGATTTGGAGATTTGCTGTAGAATCTGATGCTTGGTGGAGATCTCTCATAGCTAGCAAATATGGTGTGAGCTGGGGAAATTGGAGATCTAGGGACCCCCCTCCTAACTGGGGTAACTCTCTATGGAAGGGGATAATGAAGCATTTTCCAGAGTTGGCCAGGGAGATCTCAGTCAGGGCTGGTAATGGTAATAGGATCAAATTCTGGAAGGACCCTTGGTGCTCAAATGTTCCTCTTGCTGAATCCTTCCCCCTCATCTTCCCAGTGTGCTTCAGACCAAGAGGCCTCAGTTGCTGAGTGCTATAGTATATCTGGTGATTCTGTTCTTTGGACTCCCTCTTTCCGTAGAAATCTCTTTGATTGGGAGGTGAATGAGGCAGTGCATCTTTAGTACGGAGGATAAATGGCATTGGAAGTGGAATCCTGACAGGATATTCTCTGTTAAATCTTTGGCGGCTAGGATTGGTAGGAGGGGTGTTCCTGATTTCCCAGTTCAGCAAGTGTGGAATCCTATCAGTCCGACTAAAGCCAGTATCCTTGTTTGGACTATGACTCTTAACAAATGCCTTTCCAGGAGAACCTTGTAAGCAGGGGAATTCAGATTTTGGACCAGTCTTGCAGCTTATGTGGGTGCAGTGCTGAATGTACTGATCATCTGTGTTTACACTGCCCGTTCTCGGCTCAGTTGTGGAACCACCTCCTCAAGTCCTTGAAGGCTTGTTGGGTGATGCTGAGGTCGGTAAAAGAGCTTTTATGCTGCTGGCATATTGTGGGCTGGAGCAAGAAAAAGAAGACTTTATGGAAAATGATTCCAAGTGCTGTAATGTGGTGTATCTGGACCGAGAGGAATAGAAAGGTGTTCAGCAACAAGTTTCTAAGTCTGGAGGACCTAACCCAGAAGTTAGTGGGCAAATTGATTTCTTGGTTGTCTGTGACAGCAGATTTTAGAAACTGTAATGTATCAGATGTATTTTTTTCCTTGTCTTGATGGCTTGTGTAATCGCTGTTTAGATCAGTCAGCCTGTTTTGGGACTGATCTCAGCCTCCAGTGTGTATTTCATTCTCAATAAATATTATCTTACCTTTTCCAAAAAAAAAAAAAACTATGCTCTGATGTTCTCTCCTTTCTAGCTTACCACTGATCCACCTTAGCATCCTCATCTCAGATACACTCGTTTTTTGAAATCTTATTTCTTAATTTCCCAGCACCCTGTTCCACTGGTTAACCCACTCACTTAGTAATCAAATGCCTTAGTCAGAAGACTCAGAACTAGAACCAGCCACTTCTATCCTTTAGATTTATTTAATGCAAATTATATCAATAAAAAATGCCTTTTCTTTCCCTGTTTCATTAATTCATTCCCCCTCATATGCATACCTTCTTTATCTAAAGGAGACACAATGTCACCTGGTTTGATTGTGCAGCCTCTTTATGCAAATAAGTTCAAGCCTGGAAGTGACCACTTTGTTCAAAAGAATGTCAAAGGTTAGGTCCATAAACAGTCTATCCCTCCCAAGACCAGAGATAGCTGAGACCAAAATAGGGTAATGGCTTTTCTAACCCAGTTATACCATTGAAATTTAAGCAAATATTTATCTCTACATGCCTAAATTAGTCCAGGACACATTTAATTTTATATTCTTATCTCATCCTTTGGTAGATCCCTTTACTTCCAAATCATATTGGCTTTCAAGACTGCAAGATTGAAGACTACTTGGCAATGTTTAAATTCCAATTACTTCTAAAAAATATTCACTTCAAGCAAAATTTGTCAGACACTAATCCAGGAATAGTAGTTCTGCAGGGTTCCAAAACCATTAATATGTCCATATCTATACCAATGACCAAACTTGTTACTCCTTTGTTTTAATTTGTTTAACTTGAGAGTAGCTGGTCACACTTCTCCACATTCATTGCAAGTAAAAAAGGGAAATCACATTCAGATATTACTCTTTAAGGAAAAGATTCAGATAGAATGTGCTTGTGAAGCAATCACACTTCCCAAACATGAAAGCATTTATGTTTCCCTATGATTTGTACAAAAAACAAGTCAATCTCTAATATTCTAAAAACATCAATATTGATCAAAAAAAAAATCTAAAAACATCAATATTGATCAAAAAAATTCTAAAAACATCAAATGTTATGACCAAATTTTCCACAAATACAAAAGAAACGAATGAAGATAACATGAAACTGAAGTGAAAAAGTTTAATTGAAGTTTAACCAACCATTATGAATAGCAACTAGTGTAAATAAGGAAAACATTTATTTGCAGTGAATAAGTAGGCTGTCCTTGAAGAGTAATAAGTCCATGTTTTGGCACAAATATTACTAGCAACAGCTATAACATGGCATGGTTTACTTTAGAGCTTAATTATTCAGATACTTCTTCATGATTTGATTAATTAAGTTGCTAAGCACCATCTATTTTCTACATAACTAAAACGAATGAAACAATTAACTTGGTGCAAACAATGTGAATGATAAAACCATTCAATAAAAAAAAAGAGACAAAATCATTTATCTCTGTTATTTCATGGCATCATTTCACATGACTAAGAAACATCTCATACTCAAAAGGAAAAGCCAGTTATGGAACCAAATAAAGTTTAAGTTCACAAAAAGAAAAAAGCAAAAGAAAAGAATAATAACCTAATAGATGTACTCACAATGGGTCCATTCTTCAGAGCATGTTCCTTGGCAAATTTGCATGCCTGCTTAACAGCAAGAGCATCCATCCCATCTACCTGTTACATGTACAAGACATTCAGAAACCAAGGACAAAAAAGAGATAGCATGTAAGCAGAAAACCAAAAATTGTTTAACCACTGTACAATGACTTCCCTAATATTCATCTGTCAAGTTGAAAGAAAACTGTGGAATTCATCCACTAATACCACAACCTCATGGAACCCACCAAAGATGATGCAAATTCATAGAACTTATAAGACGATAATATACTCTATAAGTAATACTGCCAATCACAAGTTAGCTACCAGGAATTGAAAGATATTAGGATAAGTTCATAATTCACAAGAAAGAAGCGGTGGATATTGATATTGGAGATAATTGGTTCACATAGATGCAACAGTAAACCTGCACGAAGCTATCACATTAGAGGTCTGACAGACATGTATAGGCATCTAACCTTGTTCTCCTTACATAGTCCCCTTGTTAGGACCAGACTAATTGAAAATACATATGATCTTTTGTTCCATTGTCTGTTCACTCCAGAAGAGAAAGATTAGATGCCACCACTAGGACCAGTTACTGTCATCCAAAGCCATGGTGGCCTCCCTCCTCTTCATAAGAAGCCAGCAATTACACTTTCAACCAAATATTTACTTCTTCCCGTCTCTTATAGAAAAGGAGAATACTGCAAAAGTTGTCCTCCCAGACATCAGTTTATACCAAAATATCAGGTTATAAAACTGGAAGCATTATTAAGTACATACGGAAATACATGAGAAAACCAGGGATGTTCCGATCTATGGTTCAGAAATTCTGCATATCATAGGACAGATGTTCCACAAAGCCTAAATACAGTCCTATGAAATGGCAAAAAGAAACAGGAAAACTAAAACCATGACTTCAAGTGCATGACACCCTTTTTCTAACCGGCAATTTACTCGTGCAATAGTCATCCAGCATTTCAAGTGATTAATCTAAGATGAGACTTCTCATCCTCATCAACACCTATCACAAAGTTAATCAGTACAATTGCCAACCATCAGACACCTTATGAACAGTTATTCAGTTGTTCCATGCACTTTGATCAACTAATACATTCGCCAAGGCCACGCTTAATGTTTCTCCTCACAACCAGTCAACACTTCATCACATATCACAAGTTATGCACAGGTATATTCCCAATTGAATAAACAGAGCACCCATCAGAAGTCAACTTTAAAAACCTCATCTCTGTAACTAGAGATAAAATACAAGTGCTAAACTACGAAAAAAAATGTCTTAACTTATCCAACAAAATTGAAAATGGGAAACTCAAACGCACAGAGCTTCAACATAACATTCACGACATGAAGAAGAAAATTGAATCAATCTCACCTTCAGACCAGGAACATAATCCCCACGCTTGTAATAAGCTGGACTCTTAGCTGCTCTCCATTCTGCCGTCCCCATTCCATCTGCAAAACCAAAATCCTTGGCAAAGTTACGTATAAGAAACAATGTAAAGATGGAAAATTAAAGCCAAAGTGCAGTTCAATTCTTTCTTGGGGTCTTCATTACTTACAGTGGTTGTTCTCGCAGACCAAAATTGCAGGTAGATCCAAAAGAGCGGCCATATTGAGAGCTTCGAACAACTGGCCTTGATTGGCCGCACCGTCACCATACATAGTGAACGTCACAGTGTTGTCCTTGGAGTACTTCTGGGCAAAGGCAAGACCGCACCCGAGTGGCACCTGTGCACCAACAATTCCATGTCCACCATAAAACCCAGCTTCCTTCTTGTAAAAATGCATGGAACCTCCCTTCCCCTTGGAGCATCCAGCTTTACGACCCATCAATTCAGCAAAAGACTCGAAGGGGGTCCCACCCCGGCCGAGAAAAATACAGTGGTCACGATAAGCGGTGATGATGCAATCCTTCTTCGTGATGGCTGCTTCCATGCCTACGGCGACGGCTTCTTGGCCGTCATAGAGATGGCAGAAACCACGAATGAGCTTGGATTTGTAGAGGGAATCGGCAGCGATCTCCATACGGCGCATGACCGCCATGTCGTTGAAAAAGCCAAGGAGTTCCTTTGGGGTAGTTTCGACGGAACGGCAGGGTGGGTCGATGTTATGACCGACGAAGGGAGCGCTAGTTTCGACGGTGATGACTGTATTGTCATCGGAGGATGACGAGAAGGGACGGCGGAGGGATGTAGAAGAGGAAAAGCAGGAGAGGGGTTTGAGGAGCTTGGAACGAGAAGAGGAGGTAATTTGGTTGAGAGCCATGCCGCTCGTCTGATAGTGTGGTTTTTGATCGGTTGATTGATAAATCTTCTTCTGACTGGTTCGTTGTGAGGATGGTACTTGGTAGGAGGGGGCGAGGGGATCTAGAATTAGAATTTAGAAGCAGAGAGCGAGAGGTTGCCGGACAGAAGGGAAGGTGGAGAGAGGTGGAAAAGTGATAACAGAAATCCAAATTTCTGTTAAATTATTAGTTTATTAAATTGACAATTAAAAACGATTCCAATCCAACGGTTTTAGCACTGCCTTCTTTTCGTCAATTATTAGGGATCAAGAGAATTTCTATTTTCATAAATTTATTTATATAATTGAAAATACTGACAAATGGGAGAACTAAAATAAGAAAATATAGTTTCTCATTTTTTTGACAAAATGGGATTACATGATTTGGGCACATCCAATTTTTATAAAGGGGCATCTCATTAACACTACATAAGCTATATTATATTATATGTTTTAAAAATTTTTATAAAGGGGCATCTCATTAACTATGTGCCTGTTGCTGGTTCATAAAGAAGAGAGGTGCCCGAATCACTACCTCTCCTTTCAGCTTTTCGCCATCACCAAAGGTCCAAAATGATTATTTACAACTTCGGGCACGTTCACGTTCTACCCGTTTCGTTTAGAGATATTTTGGATGGGCCATTACGCGATGTTGGTATCAGAACTAGCTAGAAGGAAAAGAAAACAACAAAAGGATTATTTACAAGAGTTCGGACACATTTCGTGTTGTACCTGTTTTAGAGACCCTTGATATTAAAGGAAGAAAATGAAAGAAAGAGGAAAATGACAAAAAAGATTCCAGCCAAATGTGCTTTTAACCCTAACAATTGTCTGTCTTTGTTTTTGTCTGAACAAAGTTTTCGATATAACATAGAAAGAGATATAGCAGAGCGCCAGTGAGAGGAGAAACAATGCTCATTCTATTGCTTTCATGTTTCATATTCTTGGAAAGGAAAAAATAATGCTCAATTCAGAGATAAGCAGCCACGGTAACGGTAAGAGTGAAATGTTACTGATGGTACGTAATTCGGCCGGTCTTAGCTGTCAACGATCTTGTCTCTGAATGGAATTGCGGGGAACCTGAAACGAAGAAGATGAGGAAGCTCCGGGGGAAACCCGGTGTGGAGGCTCCGAAGCTCAAGTTAGAATCCTTCAAAGGCAAGATAAAACCAGATAGCGCAAAGTTTGCATACCTTGTTCCTGGAGGTAGGGGGCCTTTTATAGCCACCTCGTGCACTCACTCCTAAGCTTCTGTCAGGTTGGGTATGATTACCTCTGGTCTCCTACCAGTTCGGGTGTCATCGCTCCGAAGCTCAAGTTAGAATCCTTCAAAGGCAAGATAAAACCAGAT